GTCCTCTTCTGTGTTGGCCCCAAAACCTCGAACCTGCTGCCGCTTGTTTGTCGATGTAGGAACATTGTTGAAAGAATTATTCGCCTTTTGTTGCTCTTGGAAATGCGATTAAAACTCTGGTATCACAGCGCACAGCTCTCAGGATCACGCTGTCTCCTGGCACGGCCGCTCCAGACCCGTCGCCATCTTGGAATTCCCTTCATTTCTTTTAATAGCTTTACTGAGGTGTAATTTACATACCATAAAATGCACTTGCTCTAAGTGTACAATTTAATGATTTTTAGTGAATTTAGAGCTATACAACCATCACCATAATTTAATTTTAGAATATTTTCATCACCCCAAAAAAAGATATATCCAGAAAAATCCTTAGAGGGTAGAGTCCCATACATAATAACATCAATTTAATGCTGTATAAAGCAAAAGAGAAAAATAGTGATTTATTAGGTTGGATCACATGAAATTACCATTTTCATAGGTTAAAAATGTCCAAATATTGGCAATTTTGCATAGTTTTGCCATTAAAAAAAGAACATTTACAAATGCAGTACTGTAAAATTACAGTTTGCCTATTTACCCATATACTATATGTGACCACCTATGTTACGAATTTATAACATGTTATATTTTTATACAGAAAACTATGCATTTTGGACTTTGTAGGTGATTGAGGGATCTGGGATTTTTCAAGGAGGAAATTTTGAGTAGCTCAGTTTTCACCTCAGGCACTGTCTTTAGGAAAGAAACTCCACAGGGATTGTCCACTTTTGAGTCAGTTCGAGCTAGATTCTTCAATCTGCTGTTAAGAAAAATGAAGTATAGAAAGCGTAGATAATCTATTCATGCACCGCCAACTACATTATCTCAAGCTATGTGAATAAAACTTTGTACGTGGAACACCTTGAATCTATACCATGTAAGGATCACGGTTTGTATTTTATATTTTTACTTTGCATCTTTACTTTTTTTTTCTCTCTATTCCTCACTAGAATCTAAGATGGCTGAGGAAAGATGCTAGGTCTTCTTTCACCTCTATATCCCCAGCACCTAGCTGCAACAGCATTTGGTGTATGGTAGATGCTCAATAAATAATGAGTGAAATAAATCTAATGAGGAGGAAAGACCCTGATTCATATACGTAAACAACCCCCCACCCTGGCCACCCACACACAGCCTGGCATCACTGAGGACACTAAAAGATAGTTTGTGGGGAATGACTGCATGAACAGATCCAAAAGGCTTTTATGTCAATGTATGGCAGATCCATTCTGAGCCAGCTCAAGCCTGGCAGAGAGGCTTCCTACTCGAGAACACAGAGCAGCCTGCCTTCCAGCAGGAGTATCCAAATCCCAAACCTGGGAGGAAAATGAAAGCCGAGCAAAGAGGCACTGCAAAGAACACCACAGCACACTGGGCACCTGGGGTCTTTCAAGGGTCAGAGGCCAGACCTCTCGCCAGAGCAGGGTCTGGAGGGAAACTGTCCAGAGAAGCACACAGATTAGATGCTGGAGCTGGTGCAAATGCACGCCCCTGACTAGGCTTTCCAGGGCTTGCAGGCAAGGGAGAGCTGCAGGTATGTAGGGAGGGGACTTGGGGTTGCAGGGGGCACAGAGCTACTACTCATGGTCCCGGCTGGTTTATACAATCCCATGGGGAAAAGATGCTATGAGCCCTCCCCCAACATACACCTCTTCCCCAGCTCCCTCAAAGGTGAGAGGTGTCTCCAGTCTAACTGACCAAAACCTGAGACACTGATTGAACTTGGGTGCTAACGGGCAGGGTCACTTTGTTAAAACGTGGGTGGTGTGGAGTTCTTTGATTCCTGTTTCCAAGTGGGAGACAAACCAGACTTCTGCACTGGTAAGTATTAGTCACTGTCTCTGCTCCTAAGAAAGCAGTTTTGTATCTCCCATTTGGTCTCTGCTTCTAGCATATAACTCCCCCATGAAGACCATCAGGCAGGGAGAGGAGATTGGCATTTCTAGGTTCATCATACTGTTGAATGGTTTCAAGATTCTGGCAGAATCTCCAGCCTGCCTACGTTGTCCAACTGTTTGTTCCCAGTAAAATGCAAAGAAATTCAGGAATCCCTCTGGAGTCTAGAAAAAGGTCTAAAATGGCACAAATGGTGAACATCAATCACCTCTGAAAGGGGGGATGCAAGAGAGGAATAAGTGAAGGGCATTCACATTTCACTTTTCATGTATGCTTTTGTATTGGTTCCATTTTTTACAATAAACACATGATACTTCATAATTTTAAAATTGTAGAGGATTCGTAAAGCAAGTGTACTTCACAGGGCCTGGTTTGACAAAGCCCTGCAGTTTCAAATACCGACCTTGCAGAGGACAGGAAATATTCCTCAGGCTATAAAGTCTCTGGTGTAAGATAAAGATTTGTGGCACAGCAGGTTGCTGAAAGCCTTGCAGTTTCAAATATTGACCTTGCGGAGGACTGGAAATTTCCCTCATGCTAAAGTCTCTGGTGTAAGATAAAGATTTGTGGCACAGCAGGTTGCTGGCTCAAGGACAGACAAGTTACTGATTGATATGTAAAGGTACTGAGAAATTGCTGTAAGAAGGAATGTTTGCTAAGATCAAGCTTTTGTTAATCATTTAATCGCCTTACTGGAATGTCATCTGGCTTGTTTCACTGAAAGTTACCAGCCTATATTGTTAAACTATAACCCCACCTATGTTCTCTTCCTGTAACTTCCTGGTCTGGAAAATAAATGCAGGAAGAGAACCCCAATTTGGGGTTAATTTGCCAAGGAAGGAATGCCTCTCACTTGAGGTTTCTGGGGGAGTTAGCCACTTTGGGGCTTCTCACTGCTCAGAAGAGATGGGCTTTGAGTAATTCTTTGTGGCTCCATCACCCAGGGGAAGTAGGGTGACAAATCCGTGGGGGGACAAAGCAACATAAAATAATAATAATCAGAGGGTTTAGGAAATGATACATAATGATTTAAATCCAAATTTAAAAGTCAGTAACCAGCATTACACCCTCAATAATTGTACAATAATTATGAAAATTGTATTCAACCCCTTATTTGGGAAACCAGGAAGATCCTTAACATCCTATATGCTGCTGCTAATTCAGATTCATTGGCAATTAAACTCCCAAGGCCTCAGTTTTCTCATCTGTAAAGTGGTCATAATAATGCCTGCTTCACAGATTTGTGGCAATGCACAGCCAAGTATTCCTAAGATGCAAAGTAATATAATGTATGTCTTCATGGTGAGCATTTCTGGCACTGTCTGGGAAATCAGCTGATTTAAAGCAGCTGACCTGTTTTTAAAAACAATATAGCTATTAGCAAGAGGTATTTATTGAACAAATGAGGAGCTTCCACAGCCTTCCTATAATGATAGTTGAGCGTAATATGGCATATAACTATGTCCTTTACACAAGCACAGCTCTGCACACAGAAACACTCAGTATGCATTTATGCAATTAGTGCATACTACATAAGCAGCCCTGCTAAAGAGATAACATCATCCCCATTTTCACAGATGGGAACACTGAGGCTCAGGGACATGGTGGAAGAGCAGTTTTGCTGTTACCCAAGCCATTTTCAACCAAACTCTGCCTTGTTTCTATGGAGAAAAGGAGGGAGGATAGGAGATGAATTGGTGCTTGGCTCAAAGTAGGGTGGAGAGAGGATAAAGGAAAGAAAAAAGGAAGAAGCTACCAGAAGCCAAATGATAGATTCCTATTTGAATTAAGTTGCAGGAAAAAAAAATGTTATCTTAGTGGATAAATGTGTGTGCTGCCTATTGTTAAGAAATGAACATCACATACCTTTTTGTTTCTTTACTTCCCATGGCAACCAGAAAGCTGAGAATCAGATTTACTGCTTGAGTAACAAGCAGCTGCAGAGTCTAGAAGCACTTACTTCTTCCCCTCCTGGAGAAGCTGTTTTCTGCTTTATGTTTCTTTCTGCCCCATGGAAATATCCAATCCTCACCCTAAACCAGAAGAAGCATGGAAGAATGTTCACATATTGTATTAGTTGGCCTGTTCTTTGATTCCTTATATTTCACTAGCCCTACACTGATCGTGGTAGTAGTATTGACTATAATTAGGCATCATAAGGATAATGATTTCATTAAAGCTACTTTAATGGATTCAGACACATACGAGGCAGGGTGTTATACAACACAGTCAAACACTTTGTCACCTTGTGATAATTGGAGTTGCTGAATTACAGTAACAGAGCAACCAAAGGTAATTTCTTATTTGGCCAAAGTCGTCTGACCTCCCTCTGGCCTCCAATTATCATATTTCTTCTTGGAATTAGGTCTCCCTTCTATTTAGAAGTTCCTGCAAGCTCCAAGCTATTACAGCAGACTCTAGGCTTGCACGGAAGCCGTGAAGTCCTAATTTTCTCATTACACAACCTCATCTGTCAGCTATTTACTGGCGAGCCAGCCCTGTTCTTTAGTTCAGGTGATAAATAGGCATGAACAGCTTAGCAAGCAGAGAGGCAAATAAACATCTGAAAATGATCAGGCCCTGAGAATCTTCTATCAGATAGTGTTACGGGTCAGAGAAAACCAGAGCAAACCAGGGAATGAAACACGGAGAAGAGGCTGAACCAAACTGACCTCTTTCACTCAGAATCACGACAACAGCAATAGGCAATTTCTTCTGCCACATGGAGAGTCTCAAATGGTTCTTTGGACAATATTGTCAAACTCAGCAAAGTTGATCACATAATAAGAGTTAACCGTTTATTGAGCACCTAGTAGGTATGCTACTGTGTGTGAGGCTTTAAACTATACTGACCCATCTGACATCAGAACAGCTTACACTACGTACATTCACTCATTCATTCATTCACATTAAATAACACTATAACATGCCTGTTGTGTTATAAACACTATATAAGACCAGCTTCTATTCTTTCACATGAATGGCACAATGCCTACATTGAGCCAAGCACCATGATAAACATCAGAGGTGCAATTGTAAATGAGACAGATACAATTGTTGTCCTCAAGTTGCTTACAGTCTGGTAGGGTATAGATACTATATAAACCAGCCTACAAATATGTACGTTACTGCCAGTGCAATGAATGTAATGGAAGAAAAACACAGGCACCATAAGAAGATAAAACAAGAGACCTGTCTTAGCCTGGTGAAGGAGGAGAGGCTAGAGAAGTATTGGTCTCTAAGTTAAGACTCAGTAGTTAGCCAGGTGAAGAGGTAGAAGGAAGAATATTTCAGAAACATGGAATAGCATGGACGGAGGCTCTTATGCAGGAAGGAGCTTGGGGTAGTAAATAAGGAAAGGAGGCATTTGTCTAGAGCCTCATGAGCAGTGACAGGGAGATGGTGGACACAAGATTATAGAGGGTCTTGCAGAGAATGGTAAGAGTGTGAATTTTATCCTCTGAGCCACATGCAGCCACTGAAGGGCTGACAATTGGTCAGTCAGGGACTGGCTCTGAATGACCAAATCATCATGATTTATATATGACTTCTCAACAGATTGATGAATAGTCAATCCATCTAGAAATGTTTATTTAGAAACTACTATATGAAAAATCACTTATGCTATGATGGGAAAAACAGAGGAAATCTCTCAACACTTTCTGGAGTACTTAAAAAGAACAATTTGGCCAGAGCATAAGGTTCAGCAGAAACTGGAATAAGAGAAGGTTGGAAGTCTTGCAACTTAAAATGCTAAGACAAGGAAACCAGATTATTTTATTTCTTTTAGAGAAGGAAAAGAAGAGCAGATGGCAGGGAGAAACTAATCTTATTATTGATTGTCTCTCAGTGCCAGTCACTGTGCTGGATATTTTATACATAGATTATCTCATTTGATAATCAAAACTCTCAGAAATTAATTTAATTTAAGCATCTATGCTCATTCACCCTCACATCATCAAATTTTTCAGTAATGAATGCTGAGGCTTAGAGATATTCAAGAAATTGTTCAAGTTGAGTTTACAGTGCTGATCATTGCCCTCCCTCATCACCTTTGTCTGATACACTGGCCCTGCCTACATACTTGCAAAACTCTCCCATCCACACATCGCTCCAGCCACAACTGATCACCTCCAGGCCCGACTTTTTCCCAGTCCTTGCTTATCATCTTGTCAATGGACCAGTGGACCTATCCTGACCACCTGTTTAAATTAGCACCAATCTTAACCCCTCCCACTGCCCCTCCTGATATCCCCTTTACCTGTTCTATGTTTATATCAACTTCTAAAATACTACGAAATTTCTACTGAAAAAAAATTAAGTGGTGCAGATTTTTTTAAAAACACTAGAGGCTTTCCCGGGATTTAGAAGAAAAAGACGATGACAAAAAATACGATAAAGAAGATAATATAAATGGAAGGCAGAAAATAGCCAAATGCAACATACAGATAATTTATTTATTTTCGAGAGACCAGAACAGAACAGAAACAATAATAAGAAAAAAAGGACAGAATGCTTTCCCAAACTAGAGAAACAATCTGTAAGAAGATTATAAAGACTTAGGAAATGTGCCACCCAGTATTCTTCTGGAGTTAAAAAACAATTTGAAAATGAACACCAATTAGTCAAGGTATGATACAAAGTTAAGAGCTCAATTTGGGGGAAATCGAGGTATAAAAGGACTATAGTAAGTTCTGCAACTGTCTAAATGATACTTGCAAATCTGTTTATAAAAAAAGGCAAATGTCAAAAATTATTCCTGGAAAAAAATAAGCTGATGCAAGACACTAGATTATGTTGATAAAAACCAAGAAGTTGGGATAATAGATTAAAAACATATTCACATTCTGTATTAAGGAGAAAGAATGAAAAATACAATTTCAAATTTTGTTATAAAAATTAGAAAACCATCAGTTAAAGAATGCTTTTGAAAACCTTTATAAAAACCGATACTCAGATTAAAGACTTAAATATAAGAAGGAACTCAAACAACTTCACAGTAAGAAAACAAATAATCCAATTTTAAAAATGGGCAAAGGAGCTGAATAGACATTTTTCAAAGGGAGACATACAAATGCCCAATGGGTACATGAAAAAATGCTCAACATCATTAATCATCAGGGAAATACAAATCAAAACCACACTGAGATATCATCTCACCCCAATTAGACTGGCCATTATTAAAAAGACTGAGAATAATAAATGCTGGCAGGATGTGGAGAAAGGGGAACTCTTCTCCACTATTGGTTGGACTCTAAATTAGTACAGCCATTACAGAAAACAGTGTGGAAGTTTCTCAAAATCTACAGATAGAACTATCATACAATCCAGCAATCCCACTTCTGGGTATATACCCAAAGGAATGGAAATCATCATGTCAAAGTGACACCTCCACTCCCATGTTTATTACAGCTCTATTTACAATAGTCAGGTTATGGAACCAACCTAAATGTCCATTGACGGAAGACTGTATAAGGAAAATGTGGTACATATACACAATGGAATACTACTCAGACATAAAAAAAAAAAAGAATGAAATTCTGCCACTCACAGCAACACGGATGAAATTGGAGAAACTTATGTTAAGTGAAATAAGCCAGGCACAGAAAGAGAAATACCACATGTCCTCACTCATAAGTGGGAGAAAAGAAAAGAAAAGAAAAGGAAAAGAAAGGAAAGGAAAGAAAGAAATCGACCACAACAATATGCTGAATTTTTAGGAGAGAACAAATCTATGCTTACTAGAGGTGGGAAAGGAGGAGGTCAAGGGGGGAGTTAGGAAGAAAGTGAGAAATGGACACAAAGAATAATTATGATTTATAATGACAAACATGCTAATAATACTGATTTGATCATCACATATTGTACACAAAAACTGATAGTCAACTCTGTACCCCATAAATATGTATAATCAATTATGTTTTAATAAAAAACAAAGTTTTTAAAACAAATTTAAAAACTACTTATTAAAATATATCTTCCAAAATAACATTTTATAAATGTAAAGTAAATATAGTTCAAGAGTAAAAAATGATGCAAAGAAAAACAATAGTGAGGCATAAAAATTAAAACCATTAAACAAAACTAGAAAAATAATGTCAAATGGTTCAGACAGTAAAGGCCAATGTATAAAATTCCACTATTAACAGACAAAAATTCCCAAATTAAGTCAAAGACAAAATCCAATTATGGAGTTTTCAAAAGACGTAAATTAATTGTCTTTGTATGTTAAACATAAAAAGGACAAATGTGTATTAGACAAATGCAAACTTTAAAAGCACAAGCACAACATTCATATCAGATAAAGTAAATTCAAAGCAAAAAACATATTAAACAGGACAGTAAAGATCGTTATATACTGATAAAGTCTAGGTTGCAAAATAAAGATTCAACTGTCATATCTTAGTCTGTGTTCTCCCAGGTGAACACGAGACAAAGACTTAAGTACAAGGACACATGGAACATTAATTACAAAAATTGACCATATCCTGCACAGAAGCAAGAGTCAGCAAATTTCAAAGGATTTAAATTACACACAGTAAAATCCCTAGCTACAGTGGAATTAAGCTTGAAATCATGAACAAATAAGAGCAAAAAAAATTCCGTATGTTTGGAAATTAAAAAATAGAATTCCACTTCAAAAAGCCCAAACAGCCTAAAGGTCAAAGAAGAAATTACTAAGAAAATAAGAAAATACTTTTATTTGAATCATAATGAAAATAAAACTTATCAAAATTTGAGGGCTATAACTAAAGCAATGCCTACATTAGAAATAAAATACAGACTGAAAATCAATAAACAAAGCATTTAGTCTCAAAAATTTGAGAAATGAATAGCAAATTAAACCTGAAGACAAAGTGCAAGGAAGAACATAAGGAAGTTAAGAGCAAGAACTAGTGAAACTGGAAAGTAGAATATAATGGAGGGTCTCAAGGTGGAGAAAGTTTTCTTAAATCATATACAGAAATTACAAACCAAATAGGAAAATACTGGTAAGTTGGACTACATTATAATTATAAATTGTT